AGAGAGTTCCTGTGTCCCCTTCATTGGCTTGCCCTGACCTTGACATCCTACATGATTTTGGAGCTATTATCAAAACCAGGAAATTAACAACTATTAACAAGTCTACAGCTCTTACTTAAATTTCAGCAGTTTCCCTGATACCCTCTTTCTCACTGAGCAGCATGTCTCTTTAGTCTCTTGGAATCTGTGACTAGGATTCCTTGACTTCTTCCAACTATCACAGTTTTGAGTTATTTTGCTCAATGTCCTCCACTTGAGATTTACGTGATGTCATAATCAAGCGGAGACTGCCTTTTTGGTAAGAATACAGAGATGGTACTGTGCCCTTCTCAGGGCATCATATCAGCAGGTACATGACGCAAATGTCTTGTTACTCGTGGTGCTTACTTTGATCGTTTGACTGCAGGAGTGCCTGTCAAGTCCCTCCACTGTAAAGTTACTGTCTTCTAGTAAACAACTTGTGAGGAGACACTTCGAAAGTATTCTAAGGTCTGTTTCTCACCACTGTGTAGCCATTGATGATCCTTGCCTATGATAATCATTCTTTCAACATTTATTAAATGGAATTCTGCTACAAGGAAGAGCTGACCCTTTTCTTCTGAGTATTGATTTCTACAATTATTTATATCTATCTGGACTCATGGATATTTATTTTTTCTTTGAATTTGCTAGAGTTTGGGTTTTAAGTGTTCCCCAAAAGTCCATAAGGTAAAGGCTTGGTCCCAAGCATGACACTACTGGGAGGTGGTAGAACATTTAAGAGGTGGGGCCTAGTGAGAGGGCTGTAGGTCATGGTGGGGCTTGGGGGGGTGTCCTCAAAGGGGACTGTGGACTCCAGTCTCTTCTTTTTCTCTTTTGCTTCCCAGCCATGAGGTGAGTAGTTTTGCTCTGCTATACATTCCCACCATCTGGTATCACAGAACCAAAGCAATGGAGTCAAATGACCATCAACTGAAAACTTAACTGTGAGCCAGAATAAGCTTTGTCTCTTTCTAAGTTGACTATCTTAGATATTTACTGAGTAACACAGTCCTATAACTTAGCACCATTTTTATTTAGTTTCTTTGCTCAAATTGTTCCAACCTGGGCTCCTGGGGACTCCTTTAAGTTGTCTCCAATGTCCTTTCAATAAGCCCCATCTTTTTTGGACACTTCCTTACTTCCTGGCACCACAAGATGTCCCAGGATCATTTTGTTCCCAGCTCTTGCTCCAAGTCTGCAATCAACCATGTCAATGGGAGCCCTGATTCCTTTGGTTTGAGGATGACATTTAAGATCTATGATCTGGGTCCTCTCAGCAGACAGATTTACAGAATATGTGTACTACATGTATTTTGTTTCTTTAGTATCTTTTGAAATTTGATAGGCTAATTATAGTATTTTTATCATCTAAAAGGAATTTAACCAGGGGCATTTAAAAACAGTCATATATTTTTTTAAAAAATGTAGTTTCTTTTGTCTTTGTTGTTACTGGCAGTACTGGGGTTTGAACTCAAAACCTCATACTTGCTAAGCAGGAGGTCTATCACTTGAGCCGTGCCCCAGCCCTTTGCTGCTTTATAAGTTCTCATGTCCCCCGCCTGAGCCACCAGGCCAGCCCAGACTTCAATTCTCCTATCTATGCCTTCCATATAGCTGGCATGACAAGTGTGTGCTACCATGTCTGGATTCTTTTATTGAGATGGATCTTGCCAACTTTTTGCCCATGCCAGCCTTCAACCACAATCCTCCTAATCTCTGCCTCCCAAGTAGTTGGGATTATAGGCATAAGCCACCATGATCAACTTAATGTGGTTTCTTTGCATCTCAATTGTATAACAAAATTTTTAGGGACATTTGAAAATTGCATGGAATTATCAAGTGGCTGTAATTACTTCTTCTTGCTCAATATTTCATCATTTGTATATTGGTGGCCAGTGTATGTTGGCTTCCCTTACCTTTGGAGGAATGCAAAAAGTACTTTTTCAATGTTATTCTCCCCCCAAAATTTCTACTTTTTAATAAATGCTTTCAAACAATAACTTCAATCAAAATCAGATACTCCTAGTGGCCTCAAAGAAACCAATTTCATGGTAGAAGGACAAATAAGCTTCTTTAGTAAACACTTCAGAATCTGCCCCATTGCACACACAGTTGGTTAAAGTAGTGCACACACGGAACTCGTGTGCAAGGACATCTCTGCTCTGAGCTCTCCCTAGTGCCTTCCCTGACTCACAGAGCTTTGGAAGAATTGTAGATTTACTGAAATGTTGCAAAGACAGTACAGAGAATCCCCAGATAGTATCTACATGATTCTCCCTTAGTATATTTGACATAACTGTGGTATATTTGTCAAAACCAGGAAATTAACCTTGGTACAATGCTAATAACTAAACCACAGACCTTGCTCTGATTGCATCCGTTTTTCACTAATGCTCTTTTTCTATTCCAGGATACCACATTGCATTAGGAAGTCAGCACTAAAAAGCAATTTAAAAAGTGCAAGCTAAGGGCTGGAGAGATTGCTCAGTGGCAGAGCTCTTGCTTAGCATGCACAAATAAAGTTCCGAGTTCAATTCCCAGCACTGCCAAAAGTAAAACAAAAAACAACAAAACCCAAAGCAATGACAACAAACACCCCCAGATCATTTACGTGCTATTTAAGTAATCTCAAAATGTAATTCCTCTCCCCTCTCCACAGTTGGACATCCTTAATTTAGATTATTGCCACGTTTAGCTCATGGCTACACCTGTTCTTTGCAGTGATGCACACCCGTCACTACTTTCATGGAACACCTATAATAGCACATTGCCTACAGCCAGGCTTATCTGAATAACAAATTATTGAAATATAAGCATTGTTGACTTTGAAGGCATGGACAGCTTAGGTTCACCTCCAACAGCTAACTGCATGTCTCAAAGCCTCTCTAGAATTTTTTCTAAGTTATGCCAATTTTCTACCCTCATGTGTTATAATTGATGCAACGTATTGACTTATTGTTTTGACCGAATATTCATCAAGGGCTTACTGTTTTCCAGGCACTATGCTGGGCAGTACGCTAGGCACAGAGTAAAATAAAGCACACGGTTGCGCTCTGGTGAGAACAAGAACCATTAAATGAAAAACTGAAGCAGTTTCAGATTGTGGTCAGGGTCATCAATGGGTAAAAACCACGTCCAAGGAGAGGGACTCACAGAGGGAGCCCACTTTAGATTTGATGTGGTAGCGGGTCAGACTTCTCTGGGAGGTGCTTTTTTCTTTTTTGTTATTGGTGATTGGACTCAGGGCCTGGAACTTGCTGGGCAAGTACTCTCAACTGAACCACAGCCTCGCTGTTTTTAGTTTTATTGGTGGTACTGATAACTGAACTCAGGTCCTCAAGCTTATCAGGCAAGAGTTCTACCACACCCTCAGTACTTTTTTTTTTCCCATTGTTTTAGAAGCCATTTTATTACACAGCCCTCAGTACTTTTGCTTTTGGGTTTGGCTTTCAGATAGGGTCACATGCAAACTTTGCACAGTCTGGTCTAGGACAGTGAGTCTCCTACTGCAGACTTCCTGAGTAGAGGGAGCTGTCACCAACGCCCAGCAGGAGGTGCAAGCCACAGGTCAGGAGGGATGCAGAGTGGAGGAGTATTCTAGGGCTATGAGAACATCCACTTACATTTCTAGCACAAGAAAGAAATCCCTTACTCTACTAATGTTTAATATGAAGACTGGCACTGGTGCCCTCACTTGCAGGTTAAGCAAGGTATCCTGAGAGAAGAGAAGGAATTCCACAGTTTGGAAGGGCTGATGTAGACTTAAAATGTTTGGTATCATTTACAAATATTTTCAATTTTAAAATGTTTTATATTGATCTTATCTTTTTAAATTTGTGTTTTAGAATGATTTAAAATACAGGTATAAATTAGGACAATAGACATGCTTATAATTTAGATATCTGAAAGTCTATCTATATCTGTCTATCTATCTATGTAGACAACTATCTAGACATCTACTTAGCTGTCTATCCATGCCCTCACTAAAGATACAAAGGGTGGAAGAACTTTGCCTAAAATTTTTTTATTACTGCGTAGACTATCAAAACACTCTGGAGGTTTTGCCTCAGAGTGTGAATATACACCTTGCTGCATCATCACTACCCCCTTCACATCTCGCTGCTGTTAGAACTGAGGCTGTGTCTAAACCAGTGACTTCTAAATTTGTGCATCAAAATGACCTGGGAGTTGTAGTAAAATCAGATTCCTATAGATTGGAGCACAAGGGGATTTTAGGATTGTGAAAATATTCTGGATGATACATGCTATTACACATTGCTCAAACTCACAAAAGTACAACACTGTGGGTGGATCCATGTAAACTACAGACTCCAGGTGATCATGTGTGTTAAAGTAGGTCCACCAATTATAGTAAGTGTGCCACTCCGCGGGGGTGTTGAGCGAGGCTGTGTGGATGGGGACAGAGGCTCTATGGGAAATTTCTCAGTTTTGGGGTGAATCCAAAACTTCTCTAAAAGAATAGCATTTTTAAAATCCTTTTTAGATGTGAGTATTCTCATCTAATTCCTGGGCTCTACTTCTAGCAGGTTCTTCCCAATTCAGTCTGAGGTAGGGCTCTGAAAGCTATAATTTGAAAGAGTTCATTACCTGGTTCAATGCACTGGCAGAGTTGGGGACCACTAGTGAATAGGACATAGGCCTGGGTTTGTGGGCACAGATCTGTATGTATTAAAATATATGTTTATTTGGGGTATCTTATAGTTTTTTTTTTCATGTCCCAACCTGCTCTTTGAAGACAAGGAAGCAAGTCTTCTTGACTCACAGTAAACATTTTGCTTGGTGAACAGTGCTCAGACTGTTCACTAGGTAAAACCTTATTTGGTGACTTTGAAATGATTTTTAAAAAGGCAGCCATGGTCTTAAAAACATAAGGAAATATCAGAAGTGAGATGGCAAAAGAACAGCAAGCTACAACATCCTAGCACTAAGTATTTCCAGAACAAGTAGACATTTCTGACCTGGCACCAGGATGGTAATAGCCGTCTGCACAGCCTTTCGGATGATGCTGTCCAGGGCAAACATCCAATGTGGCTTGATGTTATGGTTCCGAAGAACTTTATTTACCTGGAAGAAGACAGTGACATTTAGTCTTCTTTAATGTTTAATTACAAATAACCCCATGGATCCAAGCACCTCAATGAAGTTCTAGCTACAAAAACAACAGAAAGTTTTTGTCACTTTGAATTACAAATCTTCATGTCACTAGGTAATGAATTAAACAATGCCACTTCAGGTGAAGTTGAGTACATCCCACGTAGGCAAACAAGTAAAGTGTTTAAGTGGAGGACAGTCTGAATAAATGGGAATGTCACTACTTTGGGGCTCAGAATATGCAGCTGCAGAATGGTTGGAGGTCATAAAGGAGGAAGACAGCATTCAACTGGCTTTCAATAAAAAAATATAATAAAGCCTGTCCTTAAGGGTGTGCCATTTAACACAGCCAAGCACTTCAGCACACTCTGGGGATTTGGAAAAGCAAGTAAAGGGGCAAAAGTCACCTTTATATGCTACCTAACAGAAAGTCACAATTGTAGCCTGTTTTCTTCCCACCATTGTTCATGCCTCTGTAAACAGGGAAAGAATCTGCTAGAAAGTCTGTTCTCATGACATGAAAATCCTTTCAGACTGAGTTTGTCCTGGTACCTTCATTACTTTAAAAGACCTACCTGCTTATGTGGCTGACATGTACAACATATAGTTACCTGGAATATTTCTCTAAAGACACACACACAATGGAAGAAGGGTCCTTTATAACCATGACCTGCTCCTCATAGCTCCTCATTTGGGTTAATTCCCATCCAGGATATTGAGCAAGCAAGAGCAGAGGTGGTGTGTGTGTACGTGTGTGTGTGTGTGTGTGTGTGTGTGTGTGTGTGTGTGTGTGTGTATGCACGACCTGGGCCCAAGACCCAGGATTACAACTAAGTGACTCTTACTCTGAATTCTACAGCCAATTTGCTTTCCAACTTCTAGGATGAAAGCCAAGTATGTAGGCAAGTACAAACTAGCTGAATTATTTCACTCCACCTGCAGATGGCTGCGTTTCCCTGGTTGTAGTGTGAGCATGCCTTTAGTGTTTCATACTAGTGACAGATGGTCAGCTGCTTTTGTTTCCTATGACCTCAATCAATTCAGGGCTCTTGCCACCACTCACCTTATAGCACGAGGACCAAATGGATCATACAGTGTCTCAGAGAATACTAGTGGCCATCAAAGATTATAATTTGGTTTTAAATTAAGGATTATTTGATGCTCCAAATGCAACTATCAAGACACCTTCCACATAGGATCAATGAACAATGAACCGAAAGTTAATTTTTGAAATTTAAATAAAATTATATGATGTGATTCCTATTTGTATCACAGGCCCCACCAAGAACCCTCTTGTTTCTGTCTTGCACACCTTCTAAGGTCTTCTGGGAGGACCTTAGAGATATGTTTTTGGTACAAAGTTCTACAGAGAAGTCTTATCCAAGAATAACACAGAGTTTTGAGTCAGCCTTGCAGAAGACTGGCTTCTAGTCTGTGTTGCATAGCAACTCAGTTTTAGAGAGAATTCCCAGCAATCTCTCATCAGATCATGCAGAAGAATTTCCACTCAGTGATGTTCTGTTCTTTGAATTACGTTCCTGGCTAGGACATGGTGGATATGTAACGGATAAATGCATTTAAATTTTTCTATAAAGAAACCAGAGAAAAACCAGAGGGAAAATCATAGGTTTTATTCCATGATGACTGTTCAATGTATACTGTTCAATTTGTCTCAGTGGCCACCAGATGGCATTTCCAGTATGGCATTAGGAAGTGTAAGACTAAAGCATGCTGTATTGCTAAAGTCACCAAAATAAATAGTGACCAACAACGTGACTTCATAAGAAGAAAGTTCAGCCATGGGGGATGCTTGCAAGGTTTTCTACTTTCCACAGTGATTTGGCTTCACAGGTAACTTTTGGGGTGCAAACACTACATAACCAATCTGATACTTGAGGCACACAGCTAGGGAAATAGCTCCCATTTATCACCCAAACAGAAGAGAGTGGGATTATTGGAATTGCTGAAGAAAGACAAGATAGTAGAACTTGTGTTTTATGTTCTTTTTATGAGCTGAGTCTGTGGGAAAACGCTGACAATATCACACTTACCGCATCCTGGAAACCAAAGAGGACCACCTGCACTTGACTGATCCCATGGCTGTCGAAGTCCAGCTCTAGTTTCAGCTTTGACAGGGTGGTAGCTATGATTTTTCGGTCAGTGGACCTCACAAACTCCCTGAGGCTCGTGACGAGGGTGGTGATGTGTTCCCATTTCAGCTTGGGTTCCTCAGCACCCTGTGAATGAAACCCCATAGCCCCTCAGTCACTCTGGGCTGCACTCATCAGCCATAGGTACACCAGGCCCACAGCTCTTTTTGAGAATGGGGCTCCACGGTGCCTCCTTCTAAAGGAAAAGACCACTATTTTGAACTGCATGGCTCCTCTTAGCCAAAATCACCACCACCAGCCCCACTACTTGGAAACAACCAGTCTTTGGGAGAAAGGGTCCTTGCCCCACACACCTGTCAGTAGCCACAGTATAGTCAGCTATATAAAACTTTAGCCAAATGTGGATAGGCTGAGGCAATGAGATTGTTCTCAGAAATTTTAATAGGCACTAAAGTGAGATTTAGGCAATGAGCCACAATATCTTAATTTCAAAGTCTGTCCAGAGAGAAGTCATAAAATAAGAGTCATGAATGTCTCCAATATAAGGAAGGAAGTGAAAGCAATGAAGCTGATAATGACAATAGAAATGGACAGGAACAGAAATGCCACCAAGAGGGCCATAGCAGCTGGATTGAAGAAAAAAAATGTGTCAACTCCTGGAGCTTCAAGTCACTTGGATCATGCTCTATTTTCGTCCTTGTGACTCGGCCAGGTTCAGTGGCTGGACTTTCTTGAGAGTCCACTTCTCTCACTGTTATATGTGTCTGCCAACATATGTCCTGGTACTTCAATTTCCCTTAAAATGAGGCAATTCCTTGCAACCAGAGGTCAATCTCAGATTCTATCCTTGAAACTATTCCTTGCCCATCAATGAGGCACCTGGTTATAAGAATGGATCTTTGTGATACTCAAACCAATCCCTTCTCTCAAATTGCATTTTTAGAAAACTTTGAACAAGGCACACTGCTTCTGTAAATGAAACCTAGTGAGATGTTATTTATCCTCTCTTAAATTTAAGAAGCAACAGGGTTTTTATTATGTTCACTTCCATCTCATACTGAACATTTTCCAACTGCGTCATTAAACTTAAATTCCTCAGCTGGGCTGTGAAAATTATGACATATAAGATTCCACTAAAGTAAAAGACAAATGCACCATCACAGTCTCTCTGCATTTGGGAACCCTGCCCCGTGTTTATGTTTCGTAAGAAAAGATTATAAAAAGCTTAAAAGCTATGATAAGGGAATTTAAAAATCACATTGGGAATAACTATAAACTTTGTTTTTTTTTCTTACCACAGACTAAGCTACACCCAAAGTAAAGACTCACAGGCAAAATCATAACACCATGAAAATATATTCAAGAAGAAAAAAAATTTCGGTAGTTGGAAGCTTATTATTTTTGTGAAAACCCAGTTACATGTTTGCCAGTGGTTTAAGTAGCAAACATTTATTTTTTATGTTAGCTTTGTTTTTCATAACAGAAAAACATGTTGCTTCTGGTTTTTTTGATGTGTGTGTCACTGTCCTACAAAGGAATGCTCTCCACTCGGGGAAATATTTCCTGTCCAGGCTACTCCATCCACTTATGTCATGGCTATTTCTGTCCTAACTCCTGTTTCTCCACATTAACTCATTCATGTGCCCATGTGCCTTCTTCATGAACATCTTTGGTGGGGTGTGTGTGTGTTGAGTCCGAGTAGGTAACAAAGGTGGCCTTTGTGAACCTTTCCTGAGCCCCTCACAGTGCTGGTCCTGGAGCCTTCTGCGAAAGTCCCATCTATTCTTTAATAAACTAAAGCAAAAAGGGCTACAGGTATGGCTCAAGTGGGAGAGCACCCATCTAGCAAGCGCAAGGCTTCGAGTTCAAGCCCAAAAGAAAACAACACAAAAATCCTAGGAATTACCAAACTACTGAGTATGATTAATTAACCTCAAAATTTAAGAATTTTGGGTTGGGGGTATAGCCCTGTGGTAGAGCATATGTTTAGTATGTGCAAAGCTCTGGGTTCAATCTACAGCACCAAAATAAATAAATAAATAAATAGAAAGAAAGAAAGAAAATCAGAGTTTCAGAATAACCACAGCAGTGACTTCTCTTGCCAGGCTCAATGCTGGGGCTGGGACTATAGCAATGACCAAGGCAGGCCATGCCCTATGGAATGACAGGTCAACAGTAGACAAAGAAACCAGACCAAAAGGACATTTTCTACACTGGAAAACCATACGCTTTGGGGAAGAGTGCAAGATTCAGGCAATTCCTGGTATGCATGTTTCTGACCTAAAACTAAGAATTCAACTAATGGCACAAGAGAAGCCTTCACTCCATGGTGGCTATGAGTGATTTCTCCTCCCCATTCCTTTCCCCATGGTTCCCCCGCCCCAGGTGCACAGAGGTTAAGATGGCACTCCCAGGGGTCACATCACCTGCATCCTATCCTGACTCCATCACTTAGGGCTGCATAACCTTGGCAAGCTGCTCAAGCCCTCTGTGCCTCAGTTTCCTCATCTGTAAAATGAGGACTATAACAGAAATATCACTTCTGTACTATTGTCATGAGGATTAAATGAGGAAATTCACAAAAGCCTAGCAGAACTATCAAGAACAATACCTAGCCCAGACAGAGAACATGTTTGCTGTAATTACCATACATTTAATATATAGCTACTTATTTTTATTGTTTTTCTTCCTCCACTAGAATGTCAACCTCAAGGGATGCAGGTTTCTTTTGTTCTCTGTAGTGTCCCCAGCATGTGGAACAGTGCCTGGCATTTGGCAGTTGACCAGAAAGTATTTGTTGAGTGAATGAATGGCCTCTAAGTGCTGGCCAGTTGCTCCTTCCTTCTAAACCTGGCTCTTCCTCTTATCTCGACCAGTCCTATTCTCAGTCCTTCAATGACTGCAGGAAGCCTGTCTGGCATCCTTGACAATCACCTTGCCCCCAACTCAGATGTCAGGCTACTTCTTACCCCAGAGCACCTTCTTCCAGGGCCTTAGAGATAGTCAGAGTTTCCATCCCCAAAGTACAGATGGTGCTTATTTTGGTTCCCCCTGTATCCAGGACCCTACAGGTACACATATGGCCTCTGACTCCTCCTGTGGGCTCTAAAGAGGTGGACATTAGGGAATTCTTCAGATGATGAAATGTTTAGCACAAATGTCAGCACAAAAGCCTACTGGAACTCTCAAGACAAAGACAAGGTGGGGCTGGACAGTAAGTACCAAGCAAGAGCCTTGCTCTATTTCCATCCCAATAAAAGATGAGAACAAGTCAACTCCTGGACTGGGAAGGTTTAACAACTTGGACCAACTCCCCTAAATCCACCCTTTCTGCAGCTGTTTTCCCTGGACAGAGGGAGGGAAGAAGCTATGTATAATTCACAGGGATCACAAGCTATGGGCAGTTTGTGGTAGACAGGGTGGGAAACAGGGACTAACAGACAGTGACAAGCCTCGTGCCAGGACTGGGAAGGCTCGCATTGGTAAGAGGACTGAGCTTCCCATACCCAGCAGTGTGGGACTCAGGGAAAACCTATTTCCACTGATGCAGGTATGGGGAGTGACTTCTTCCTCAGGTCCCTCAGCAGAATCTCAGGGAACATATTTTCCCAGGGATTATGAACTGAATTGTATCCCTCTCTCCCCCCACGCCCCCAGTTCATAGGTTGAAGCCCTAACGCCCAGTGCGAATGTATTTGGCAACAAGGCCTTTAAAGAGATAATTAAGGTTAGGTGAGGTCATAATGGTAGCAACCTAATTCAACTGGCTGGTGTCCTTATAAGAAGTAGAAGGACACTGAGGTGCTCACACAGAGAAAAGAGCATCTAAGGAGACAGTGAGGAAGTGTCTCAACTAAGGAGAGAGGCCTTCCAGAGAAGAAACCAAGCCTGGCAACACCTTGACCTTGGACTTGACCTTTGACTTGAGCCTCCAGAACTGTGTGGAAATAAATTTCTGTCACATAAGCCACCCCATCTGTGGTATTTTGTTAGCAAACTAATTCACCAGGGAATAGTCTCACTGACAAGCTTTGCTTTTCACAGTACACTTGACCCTTTAACCTGGTATATAATTCACTTACTGTTCCTGTCACCTCTATCTGAAGGTAGCAGCACAGGGGTTCTGTTATATTGGCTGATGTTTCCAAATGCTTGGAGGAGTGCCTGAGAGGTAGCCCTGCACTACCGTCAAAATGAACAACTCACATGACTCAATGCTTGCTTATTAATTGAATAAATAAATGAATGAATGAACAGTAAAAGAGACTCATAGGGACTAGGAAGACTTCACCAACATGAAAATTTTGCTTCTTACTTAAAAATAGCTTATGTTCAAAACCACAGTTTGTACACGAGGGATTTGCTTTTTCATTTCCCTTGGGTAGTTTTGTTTCTGTCGCTATAAGCACTGTAGATTCTTCATAGTCCCACATGACCTGATAGAGCTCCAGGTGGTTAGGACACAGTTGAAAATACACACGCTTTGATTGGTGTACAGTGGCATAGGCTTATTGTCCCAGCTACCCAGCAGGCTAAGGTAGGAGAATTGCTTGCAAAGTGAGACCCTATCTCAAAAAGTAAAATAAAAAATTTTCATACACACACACACACACACACACACACACACACTTTGGGAAATGAAATACCAATAAGAAGCTTTACCTGAGCTAAGGACTCCATTAAGTTCCTCACAACCTTATCCTGGTCCTCGGTCAGGATCCTATGAAGGGTGGCTCGCCTTTCACTGTCCTTCCTCAGCATAAAGAATCCAGAATCTTTTTCTTCAGGGGAAGGTGGCGCACTATGATCTTCAAAATTTTCATCTGGAATGCTGTAAGAGTTGACACAGCCTAAATCACAGTTTCCTTTATAAAATGGCACACTTCACAGTGTACTTTTTTTAACTCAAGAGAAGTCCGGTCTTTACCCCAAAAACAGCGTCCGTATTCCCTTCACATCTTTTTCTCCACAGGACTTGGCTCTGGTTTTGAAAGAGAAGGGGTCCACCTTCAACTCAGTGTCGGGGGACACGGAGCCATACTCACTACTGCTGCTGGTGTCTTCCACCAGGACAGGGACTGGCAGGGAGATGCTCCTGAGGTACTCTGCTTGTAATGGGAGGAAAGAAGAAAGGTGGTTAACACTCTTTACTTCTCCTGGAACACCTGTTGAGAGAGACCAGCATCATCTGTCAGCTATCTCAGGGTAGGGAACAGGAGATTACAATTCCTTCCTTGCTAAGGATAACCCAGGCAGGAGGTCAGCTAGGAAAGGGTCTCTCAAGCCCTGAAAGGAGAATCTCAGGGGTGTCAGACAGTTGAGAAAACACAAGTTTGGCAGGTCCTGGGTTCTGATCTCCTTGTTTTTATTAATGACATTGTTGTTACTTACAGGTCTCAGTTGTTGACATCTATGAAATACAGGTATTATGATGCATAATTTTTAAACTATGTTCCAAAGAGGTTTAAGGGTCTACCTTAGTATTTTGGGATTACTTTGAAGGGATGAGGAGTGGGACACTATTCTTTTACCTAAAACAATTGCACTCTGACCACCATAGGTCACGGCTCTGCTTGAGGATGAATATATAAAAGCATTCTTTGCTAAGAAAATTTTGGGAACCAAAGTGATATGATAACTCCATAGCAAACAGGGACTTCTGGTCTGTTTGGATGGGACTAAGGCAACCCAATAGGAGTTCCCTAAATTTCAACACTGGTTTTTAAGACAGTAATTTTTGCTAGAAACATCTTAATTTCTCAATGATACAAACATCTTTTACTAAAGAAGGCAGGTGTGAAACTCTAAGAAGAGAAAAGCACTGTTGCCTGGAAACCTTCTTACTTAATTTCTCTCAAACTGGGTTGAGTCAACAATTGCCTGAGTCTCAAACATGGGAGGTGACAGTCAGCAGTGACCTCTGACCCTGCTCACCATGACTACACATCTGTGATCATGACTGGGGAACAGGATGAGTGGTGGTGTGGGCCAGCAAGTCTCAGAACACACAAATGGACACATTTCTGACCAGTCATTCCTTATCTGATTTACAAATATGTAAAAGCATGATTCGCCTTCACCTTCCACTTTTCCTTCCTTTGCTCCAACTATTCTCAGATTCTGTACCTTAACATTCCGTGTATGTGTGTGTGTGTGTGTGTGTGTGTGTGTGTGTGCTGTATTATATATTGTATATGCTGCCAGCACAAAATATACAAAATATGCCATAAGGTTAGTGGTGGTTATTTCTAGAAGATGTGATTTGGGGGTAACTGAGTTTTATTTTTTCAAACTTTTTATAATAAACAAGTATTAATTTTACAATTAGAAAAATATGTCACTCAAATAGTTTTAAAAAGCAAATATTCAATAGTCAGCAAACGCCACTTTCCTAAGAACTTGCTTTAGTCAAGGATGGGGGTGCACGCCTGTAATCCCAGCACTTGGAGACTGAGGCAGGAAGATCACAAGTAGTCCGAGCTACTTAGCAAGACAGTGTCTCAAAAATCAAAAACAAAAACAAAAAGAACTTGATTTCCCTGATAACACATTTAGTAATGTTCTAGAAGATGAAACAAATCCTATTACAAATGTCAGGAAATGATATTTCTCTGAAAACATACCGCCTCGGACACTGGTAAGGTTTTCTTAATGCTCAGTTTTAGACTGGGTCTAACCACATCCAGAAGTATCCCAAATCATACCATCTTGAAGCTATGACACTTTCTACCCCTGGCTATTTCAAAGATGCCCCCAGGCCTGTTCTATTACTCTATCCCATCTATAAGCCAGGTAAAGAAAGCAGGTAACAGAGTAGTACCAGTTTTGGTCTCACCTGCGAGAAGGAAGAAGGAAAAGTGTGGCTTCCAGGGTCAGTGGAGCTCAGGGGGAAATGATCTATGGGTCAGTAGCTGAAGAGTCTCCCAAGGATGAACTAGCGGACCTGTCTATTCTCATATAGCTGAAATGTTATAAGGTAGGAAATAGAGGGAGCCAAGTAGCATTGCTGAATTTACCAATTTAATGCCAGAGAGTCTGAAGTTTAGAGAGAAGCCCAAATGGCTCAGCTGAAGACATATAGCAGGGCAAACTGCCTAGCAGGCAGTTTCTCAACTTCACTCTACTATGAACCTCCCCCACTTTTTTTTCTGGAGCAACTCATGGCCTAACATTTCATGGGCCACATTTTGGGCAGTGCTGCTCTGCTGTAAAAGAGGGCAAGTGAGTGACCTCTTGCTGATAACAGTAAGGTTGTCTGAGAAAAGAAAGGCTTGTTGGGGAGATTGCTTATAAGAGGACACTTCTAGGGGTGCTCTGTTTCTCTTTAGAGACATTAGCTGCATATGGGGGCAGATTTCAGAATAGGCAGAACAGCTACTTTGGAGAAAGATTTTTATTCCTTTGAGATGTTAAGGTCCTAGTGTTAAATACTGCTATTATGGGAACACATCACCAAACAAAGCCATCACTGTTCTCTTGGCTTGGAATAGCCAATCTTCTTCTTAAAGAAGGATAAAAGCACTCTAGGAAGGCCATGCACACTGGCTCACACCTACAATCCCAACTGCTTGGGAGGCAGAGATTGGAAGGATATAGGTTCAGGACCAGCCTGGGAAATAAGTAAGACCCCATCTCAATCAATAAGCTGGTCACGGTGGTGTACAACTGTGATTCCAGACACATGGAAATCCCAGGTAGGAGGATCATGGCTTGAATCCAGCCCTAGACAAAAACAAGAGACCCTACCTGACAAAAATAACTAAAGCAAAAGGGCTGGGAGAATGGATGAAGTGTAGCATGCCTGGCTAGCAAGCATGATGCCCAGTACCACCAAAAAAGTTTTCTAGGTCTTCAGGGGGGTTCACTAGTACTTGCTGAGTTTCTTCATCAGTTCACAGATGGACAATCCTCTATACAATGCATGCAATGAGCAGACATGAGGGCAAGCTTCATTTAAATTTCAAAACAGAATCAACGTTTCTTGGGAACAAACAGAGTAATTAATTCTACCTGGAACACAATCAGACGAGTATTTCCTACCATGTGTTTCTAGAAGTATATGCAGCATGTATGCAACACACCTATGTACATCTTTTTAAAATTTTTTGAGGGGTTTGAACTCAGAGCCTCATGCTTGCTAGACAAGCAAGGGAAATGGGCTACCACTTGAGCCATGCTCTGAGCCCACATATGTGCATCTGAAAAAGAAAGGGAGGAAGGCCTTGACCTGGCTTTTAATCTTTTTGGTCTAATTATGTGCCTTTGATTTCCAGTGATGAGAGGACCTGGTTCCTATCTGTGAATTTTAAGGTTGCTATGGATACCAACTGCCTAAAAAGAGACCTGATGAGGTAAGACAGTACATGCTTAAGGATGCAACACAGGCTGCCATTATGGTTCACCTGGAAAAGAAAGGGACTGTCAGATGTTCTGTAGGTCCTGTGCACATGACCTTGGATCCTCCTCTTCCTGATTTTAAATTAGTGAATCTAGTTCTAGATGATTCTCCTTCTGTTAGGCCCATGTACTCATTCATCCAACATCACAGACTGTTCTGATCACAGACTATTTGTTGGGTAGGAGTCTGCAAAGGAGAGTGACAAGGAGCAGCCAAGGGAATGGAAGGCAACAGATGAACGAGGCATCTCATACAGAGGCTCATGTGGTAGATCACCTGCCTAGCAAGCTCAAGACCCCAAGTTCCAGCCCTGGTACTGCAAAACAAGCCCACACATGGCAGTGTTTGACAAAGCAAGAAAGACCAGCATTCTGGGCTGGAAGCCACCAAAGAGCTGAGAGAAAAGCTCTTGTTGGATTGCCTACATGGACTTGATTGGTGATCTTGGCCAGAGTGGGTTCAGTGATCAAGTGGAAGGGCATCAAAAGTGAAGAGGTGAAGATGAGCTGGAGACACGGAACTTAAAGACGTGAACTTGGGATGGGAACAAAGAAATGGGGATGTTAGTCAGTAGGGTGTCAGAGAAAGATCAGATCATGACAGAAGACATTGTGTATGGGTGTATGGGACTTACAGGAGAGCTGGACACTAAGAGTCAAGGGCATATGGGATCCAGGACCCACCAGAAGTTCCACTTTGGAAGGATGCTTTCTCTTTTGTAAGGGGAAGGGAAAGAGGTGCTCAGGAAGGTGGCTTTACACACTGGTGGTGGAGTCGTATGATCAAGTCTATTCCTGAGGGTTTCAGTTTCTTGAGTTGGGAAAATTTCCAGGCACATGAAAAGGTAGTATATTCCTGTGGTACTTGTCACTGTCAGTGGAGAGAAGTGCAAGAATCTTTCCAGAGGAGAAAACTGGCAGGGCCTGGACAGCACAGAGTCACCAGTCTCTAGAGAGGGACTCGTAGGATCAGGGAGGAGAATGCAAGGATTTCCAGTCACTGGCAGCCTTACTGCTGATGTCTTGACAACTATTACGAAGCCCTCCACTAGGGGGCTGGCAAGGAAGAATCCAAAGGGGCTAGCTGAAGCTCTCAGAGAACAGGTCACTTCACAGATGTGTCTCTAGGGAGCAATTCTCATGGCTCCATTTGAGGGTTGATGAGAAGGAGTATGAGTCCAAAATTCCCTAGGAAATGGCTTTTTCAAAAGGCCAGGGGTAAGGTAGGGTGGGCAAGGGGCAAGTGGCCATATGGATCCCAAATTGCTGAGATCTCCCATTTAGGAGAGGCAGATGGCTCTAACTTCAAGGAACTGGATATATTCCTGCTTTGAGAAAATGGAAATTTACTGAATTTCTTCCATTGCTATGAGGGAGACTCAGATCCTAGGAGCTATTCGTGAGCTACAGGGACCTTCATGGTTCTTTGTTTTGAGGACAGTCTAGGGACAAGGCTCTGCCTCAATGCACAGCCCTGAACCTAGTCAGCCTGCCTCCGCCTCCAGTTGACCAGACCTTGAATAATGACTCTCATACTTGTGTAACTTCAAGAGCCATCTGGGTTTACTGAAAAGGACAGAATTCCAGGATGCACCTCCAGATTCTGCAAAGGGCCAGACATCTCGATTTTTAACAAGATCCCAAGTCACCCACACGAGTGGATCTGGGCCTGAGTCACTTCCACCTTCCTGGTGTCTAGTTCTGATATTCCTCATGCTAAGTGCATAGGAGACATTTAAAAGTGTTAGTGAGCAAACCACCCTCCCCATAGCTGCAATAATTCCATCAATGGTTTCACCGTAGCTACTAGCCTCTGATGGTTATTTATATAACATTTAAGTAAAATAAAAATTCAGTGCCTCAGCAATGGTAACCATGATTTTATTTTGTTTCTATTCTTTTTTTTCAGTGCTGGGGATCAAATCCAGTCCCTCACACATGCTATGCCACATCTCCAGCCCAGGAGCTGTGTTTTGAGTACTGTATAGGACTAGTGGACAGGGAAGACATAGGACATCTCTATTAATGCAGCCTTATAGACCATGTGCTAGTCTGTAACACTTTTCCAGATGGAAATCTGTTCCCGGCTCCCTGCCCCTCTTTGCTAGTTTCTTAGTATATCTTGATGAGCCCTTTGGGGTCTAAGCCTGCCTACCACTTCCACCTTCCTTCTTCACCTGTTCTTTAAGCACCTGCAGTGCTGAGCCACTGAAGTGCCCTTATTATGCAGCAAGCTTCCACATATCCTGCTAGCAGTGGCCTCCCCTGTCTTCCCACTCCCCCTCCACCTGTCAGATACACGTTTATCTGTATTCATCAGGTCCCACCCCATTAGAAAGTCTTCTTTGAGACCACACACTCAGATTGACTTCAATCACTGTCCCCCATTTTGTAACTCTCTCTATACAGAGTAAGTTACACTGTGGTGGAGTTGATCTTTTTCCTTCTGTCTCCTCTATAAGAATGATGGCTCCTTAAGGCATTATCTCTGTCTTTATCATCATTATATATCTAGGCATGGCACATTTCCTGTGCACACAGTAAGTACACAATAAATGTTTAAGTGAAAGGGAATGACTTAAATTGTTGGGTCTGCACGTGGCTCCTGGAGAACTGGTGGGGCTAGCTAAGTCACGTGTTGTGGTTTGAACAGCTCACCAAAACTCACACTGAAATTTAATCCCCATGATGAGGTTCTAAGAAGCGGGATCAGGTGGGGAAGTTAAGTGGTGATTGGGTCATGTGGGCAGAGCAGAGTCCTCATGGATTAATTCACCCGTGGGTTAATAGATCAGTGGATTATTGGGTTATTGTGGGAGTGGCTTTGTCATAAAAATGATCTCTCTTTGGCTCTGTTCACATGTGGTACTGTGCATCACCCTGGGACTCTACAAGGCAGTCCCCACCAGCAAGAAGACCCTCACCAGTCACCAAGCATATTCTGGAGCCATGCTCTTGGGCCTCCAGAACTGGAAGCTAAGTCAACTTCTTTTCTTCATAAATTATCCAGTCTGTGATATTCAGTCATAGCAACAGAAAAGTGGACTAAGACATCACATCTCTCCCTAAAGGGGAGGGAGGGTGCCACCATCATTACCTGCCCTTTGCCCTCCCTAGAGGAAGCTATATGCCGTTATTGAAGGTAGAGGCCCCCAGGCAGGGCAATGGTTGTGCTCTGGATAGAAACAGGTACATGGCCTACAAAAGATAGCAGGGAAAGAAGAGGCCTGATGTTTGTACTCATCTGGAAGAAGAGAAGGCCTAGGCCATGGCCACAGTTGTAATTTATATTTTATATGTGGCCTGAAGTTCTTGGGAATACTTGAGAACAATTAAGTGGAATTTTTGTTCCTATTTAGCTGTGTCTTGCTTTCCAATGGAGGACAGGGAAATGGCTCAGGAACCGCTACATCCAAGCAATGAAATTCCTTCCGCTGAGGGTCTGAATGCCTAATTGTGTGGGAAGGTGGGGTGTCCATTCTTTCTAGGTCCAAGTCTCTGTCTCAGATAAGTGGTGCAGACCAAGGGGAGACAGCCAGAGGTGAGGAAAGGCCCAAAGAATTTGGGAAGCCTAGGGCAGTTCTGACTGAAGAGAACCAGGAGACTCTTAGGAGAGGGCAAGGGACCTTCAGGTTGTAGTCCCCAATTCTCAATAAGCCTCTGAGAACAGGGGCCAGAGCAGGAGGAGGTGATCAACAGTAAGAGAAATAATACCTGCCTATGATGTGCTTGCTGAGATACGTGTCTCTTACGTAGGTGCTCATTTCATCCTTTTAACCCAACTGCACGCATGAGGCGGAAGAGAGTAAGTCATGGTCAAGACCACCTAGTCAACCATGGAACCCAGCTCAGAGCCCAGCACCATCCTCTGACTCTCTAAAGTCACTCCTCCAGTATATATTGCTCTGGTCATTTTGGAATGGTGTCTTGCAAACTATTTTCCTGGGCTGACCTCAAATCTCTTAATCTCAGCCTCCCAAGTAGCTACAACTACAGGCATGAGCCACTGGTGCCCAGCTAAGATCCTATAATATCCTAAGAGGGGTTGGACTGTAAAGCCAGGGGACAGTCCCTACTCCTGTTGAATTACACTGAGCACAGAGGTGAAGGCACATGGGATCCATGACTGACCAGTGTATAGCAGATGTAACCTGCCTTCTCATGCTCACTCTGAGGCCCAGGCTCACTAAGCAAACTGAGGACAGAGCTGCCAGCTCACCAAGTGTCCCCAGCTGAGTTCACCGAAGTGAAAGGCACATGTGACAGGAAACTGTTTCCTGTGAATGGAAACTATGCCATGTGGAAGTGATCAAATACTCATGGCTGGGGCTTCTAGGCAGAGCTCCAAGGCTTTTCCTGGGTATTATTTTATTTCATTCTCAGAACCAAATCTGTGAAGTAGGGATTGTTGCCAGCACAGAGTGACAGCTAAAACAAGTGATCTGCTGCATGTCACATATCTAGAAAGAGCCTTGGAGGGATCAGAACCAACTTTCATGCAACACTAAAAGCAGACTGCCTGGAAGTCTGAATGGCACTGCAGGGTCCACCTTGTAAAGCAGAGACAGTCCCACAGCCGCCATGCTTGTGGGACATGCTTGTGGAGTGGCTGAGAGGAGAATGTAGCCTCTTCTCAGAGGCTACCACCTCCAACACAGAATCACAGAAGGAAATCAGAGAGACTATGCCTGGGAAACCCCAATCAATGGGTCTCTACCATGGCTGAGAGGCCTTAAGTCATCTGAGAAAGACACGAAGCCCTGCCCCTTTGGCTCATAGAACAGAGGCAAAATTAAGTCTCCTGTGCGTCCGTCAACCACTCATCCAATGGAAAAATCCCAAAACATGTTCCTTTTCATTCTTTGAAATGCTACAGTTGATCTTCCTAGAGCAAATCCTCCTGCCTGCTTTTGATCCACAACAGACAACTGGAGAAAATAAAAACCCAACTCCTGACGTACTGAAGGTGGAATGCGCTACCTTAGAGATGACGGGGGAACATCTGGCACCCGACTTTTTCCACGAGGAAGCCACTGGGTGGCCAACTGGCTCCTAGATAACAAAGTATGGACTTCACTTGAATCTAAGATTTCAAAAACACAGTCACTCTCTTGCTTTTTTGGAACATAATGGAGGCCTCCTTGGAAGAGAAAGGCAAGGATCTCGCAGATGCACATGCTGCTGTACTCAGGACCTCCCATGTGAACAAGGGGCGAGGATGGGGTTGGGGATGATTGGTTTGGAGTGCATCGTGCCACAAGCCCATCCTCAGCTCAGTGGGCAAAAGCAGAAACTTACTCACCATTTGATCCAGTCGAAAGAGCTGTGGGAAAAAAAGTGAACAGCAGTGTAAGCACATGTTGGCTTTGTTGTTAAACAGAAAGTTATAAAAGTGAATGCTTGATGTAGGAGTGATGTCCCCCAAATACTCAATCGTCCCATCCTCACCCAAAAGAGAACCCCAAATGCCAAGAACAAGTAGATGCCTTACTGATTCTTAATTTGTGAAATGAGTTATGGAAATTATTGCAAAGGACAATTTACTTGTATTTTATACTGTTGTGTTAGTTGTAGGTGGCAATCTTTTTTTCTTTTCCTTTTTTTTGGGGGGGTTAATAATTCACAAAGATATTCTCTGAGGGGTAGCAGGCATTTTCTACTGCCGACAATTAAAAGATCATATTATCTAGATGGCTTGGAAGTTTAACAGTGCTGGCACAGCATGGTAGCCCATTCATGGAAATTTTGGGTTTTAGTTCTAACAGGCTACATTTCATCTTTTCACTTTAACTTTAGTATGCACAATGCTAGAATGTTCTAGAGGCTGATGTACTGACTACCTACAATGTGATGGAAGACCATTATGTATGAGGTCCCAGGATTTGTGAAATTTGGCAACATGGCTCCTTCATATTGGAACAAAATGCCTGAGAACATTGTGCTGATGTTTAGTTCAAACTCCCAGTGATATCTGTAAGTAGATTAGTCTACTTCTAGAAGGTTTTTTCATGTTAAAAGCTTAAGATTTAGAAACTGAACATATATTCTTCATGCAACCACATACATACCTGAAAGCTTGGGTTGTGTCTTTTTCTTTTTGCTGGAAACTTTTAAGAACTCGTCAATAAGCAAGTCATTAGCACATGCTCTCTTGTCAGGGTCAGGTTCAAAACATTTCAATATGAATGCCTTGGCCTCTGCAGACATGGACTCTGGGATCTCAGGGTGGACTTTAAACATCCCAACCTAAGTCATAAATAGAACAAGCACAGGGGTCATTACCTGAGTTCCAGGCCCCACGGCTTTCCCCCAGTGCAATGAGCTCCTTCATCCTACAAAACAAGAAAAGTTCAAGGCTTTTCTCCAAGTGAGGGGGGATGTGCTCTCTGTAGGTTAGGAAAAGCTTCCAGAGTGCTTTTGTAACTTTACCAATGGCACAGGAAGAAAAATTAGCTTAACACAGTAGAAGGAATTACAAAGATTAATGCAGTCCTTCAGAACTTAAAACACATTACTACCTTGGCATTCAAAGATATTTTTAGTTAAGATCACTGAGTTGCTCAGAACAGCTGTGTGCTAGGCTCTGGGTTTTCCATTTGTGAATCTCAATCCAATAACACAGTGAAGTAAATGTTATTTCTCTTACACTAACAAGGAACACAAGGCTCAGAGAGATGAGGCTGTGTGGTTATGAAAAGGTGAGTCTGCCCCAGGCTGTCACCTGCTGGCCCGCTGGCCACCAGGCCTCCACCCCACAGGACCCTGGTCGCTGCCCTGCCCACCATCCCGCAGACCTGCCAGGCCACAGCCCTGCCAGACCACCAGGCTACCGCCCGCCTGCCGGCCCACCAGCTGCCGCCCACCACAGCAGGGCTCCAGCACCACCAGATGCTGGCTCCACACCTGCCTAGGAGACGCAGACTAACAGGACTGGATGCTAAAGGAGTAACACAAAACAACTAAGACTGAAATTCTACTGTTCCTGAACCAGGAATTTTTTCTTTCTTTTTTCTTTTTTCTCTTTTCTTTAAGTGTTTGTCTTGTTTGCTGTCTGATTGTCCACCATATCTCCATGTTGATTTCTTTGGCTTTCCATTTTTTTTCTTTTTCTTTTTTCTCCTTCTTTCTTGGTTTTCTGAGTTTTACTATTATAAGTTAGCTAATACTAAATAACACATAGACCAGGGACAGAAATAGTACCAAGTGGAAGGATGGGAAGACGTAAAAAGGATGGAAACCATTCTCCCCCCAAAAATACATTAGTACAGGATTCAGAGGGAAATGAAGAAAATGGATACCCAGATCTAGACTCCAACAAAACAAAGAGAAACTATACCAAGGAACCCAATGAAGCCTATAAGAAGACCCTAAAAGAAGAAATTCTGCAAGTAATCAATGAGAATTTCAGAGATGATACTAGACATGGTCAACCAAATGTACAGGAGGCACTCAAGAAATTCCAAGACAACAAAAATAAAGAATATGAGAAAACACAAAAACAAATAAATGAAATCATAAGAGCCCTAAATAAACACCAAAGAACACAATAAATAGAGAGATAAATGAATTAAGGATGAAAATTGACAACATTAAAGAGGAAGTGACGCGTGGTATGAAAAACCTCAGAAAAAAGAATGAAACAGAAATACAAAACAAAATGGAAGGCCACTCCAGCAGACTAGAACAAGCAGAAGACAGAATCTCTGAACTCAAAGATGAAATGGTAATTAAAGGAAAAACTGAAGAACTACTAGTCAGACAACTCAAGACCTGTGAAAGGAATATGCAAGAACTCACTGACTCCATCAAAAGACCAAACCTGAGAATCATGGGCACTGAAGAAGGAGAAGAGGTACAAACAAAAGGAATTCATAATATATTCAACAAAATAACAACAGAAAATTTCCCAAATATAGAGAAAACTATGCCCATACAGGTACAGGAAGTCTCCAGGACACCAGACAGACTTGACCAAAATAAAACTACTCCATGACATAGTATCATGAAAACAACAAGCACAGAGAATAGAGAAAGAATATTGAAAGCTTTAAGAGAGGAGAAAAAACAAATAACAAACAAAAAACCAGAAATGTGGTTGGACTTGGGTCACATAACAAGGGGAGAGCACATACAGGAGGTATGGGGATAGGTAGAAAACCCAAAACATGAAAGCGTTTGATGTCCCCACTCCAGAGAAGCTAATACAGAAACCTTAAAACAACAGAGGTCAACATGAGAAGGGAATCAGGAACTAGTGAAAAGGTCAGTTAGAGATGAATCAATTTGGGTTGTAACACATTTGTACATGGAAGCAATGCTAGGAATCTCTCTGTATAACTATCCTTAACTCGACTAGCAAAAACGCTTTGTCTTTCTTATTAATGCTTATGTCTTCTCTTCAACAAAATTAGAGATAAGGGCAGAACAGGTTCTGCCTGGAAGTGGGGGGGGGTGAGGGGGAGAGGGTGGGGGCAGGGAGGCAGGTGGGAGAAATGACCCAAACAATGCACGCACATGTGAATAAATGAATAAAAAAAAATTAAATTAAAAAAAAAGGTGGGTCTGGGATTTGAACCTTGATTTATTTGGAATAAAGCCTATGCTGTTTCCTATTATATAATTTGTGAGTATTTTCTTCATCTCCAATTACCTACAGTAAGTGATATTTAAAAGTACTTTAAAATGACATGAATAGATTTTCTATCACAATTAGAATTTATGTCTCATTGCTTCTATTCTGAAAAAAAAATTAGGGCCAGGCAGAGCAGCACATGACTATAATCCAAGCTCTTCTGAAGGCAAAGATTGGGAGGATCATGATTGTGATTCAAGGCCAGCCCAGGCAAAGCGTGAGATTCCCATCTCAATCAATCAACTGGGCATGGTGGTATGTGCCTGTAATCCCAGCTATTCTTGAGGTCATAGGTAGGACGATTATGGTTTGTGACTGGCCCCAGGCAAAAATGCAAGAGGAAAGCCTACTTCAAAATAACAATAGCAACAAAGGGCTGGGGCATGGCTCAAGTGGTATAGCACCTGCTTACCAAGGGAGAGGCCCTTGATTCAAACACCAGTACCACCAAAACACTAAAGAAAAATTTTTACTGATTTTTTTTCTAAGGAAACCTTTTTTGTTATTGCATAGCTTATATAAATGTATTCTTATATACATAATAACATATCGTAACAATTATGTAGCCTTGTTATATAGGTCAGACACTATTCTAAGTGCTTTGCATGTATTACCTCAACTACTCTACAACAAACTCCTTTAGGTACTATTTTATCCCCATCCTGCAGATGGGGAAACTGAGGTAGAAGGAGGTTCAGCGATTTGCCCAGTGTTGAGTATCTTGACCATGTTGGAGCCTGCATTCAAAAGTGTTCCAGTTCAGCCTGGAAGAGGGGGTGGAAGTGGCCCAAACAATGTATACACATGTGAGTAAATGTAAAAACAATAAATAAAAAAAAGAACTGCTCATATCACCTCTTATTTCCCTTTTGGGTTCAGTTATATTCCTCTTTTTTTTTTAGTGGTGCTGGGGATAAAAATCCAAGGCCTCATGAATGCAAGACAACATTCCTCATTTCTATCTCAGTAGTGTCCTGTCCTATCAGATTTTGTTCAAACTTAAACTTGCTTTGTTCAGATGTGCAAGCTGTGTAGCATGTGGTCCTTGTGAGAAGTCATAAGCAGGTGGGTTAGGGCTGGAACATGGCTGGTGGCAGGGAGAGGACAACAGTGACCCTCAGAAATCCTCTGCCTCACAGAAGAGCAGTGAGTGAGCTTGGCCTCCTGGGAAACAGGCATCATGCCAAACTTCCTGCTGGCTTGGCAACTGGCAAATCAGTATCCCAGTCAGGTCACTGCCTCACCCAGTGCTCAGGTCCCCATACTGGCATGAGGGCTCTCTCAGGCCTGTGGGGAGCACAGTAGGAGAAGCACAGCTGTACTCAATATTCTGTAGGCTGAGTTCTGCACAGCCCCAGCCACAGAATAAGGCAAGAGTAAGATGCGGAGCAGCTGCTTTTCCTAAAATGTTTATGTCAAATAATCTGGAGGCTGAGATTTGGCACAGCCCCAGCGGCAGAAGAGAGCTAGAAGGTGAGATGCAGCTCAGCTGCTTTTCCTAAGTTGTTTTAATGCAGGTTTCTCCTGCTACAATGTCACACCCCTCCCCAGGAACCATTGCTCCACCTCCTTATTTACTACTGGCTATAAAAGACTTGCTAAAGGAGGACATGGAGGCTTTTTGGATGGGAGTCTTTTCGATGAAGGGAGGATTGCTGAAGGGAAATGAATTACTGAAGGAGAATTGCCAAAGGGGAATTGCCAAAGGGGAACTTCCCAAAGGAAACTGCTAAAGAGGGGTTGATAGAATTGGTTGGCAGCTTGCTAGGGAATAGCCACTGTTGATTGTCTGCAAGTCTGAGGGCTGAAACTTTAAGAAAGCTGAAGAGAGAACACAGGACAGTGCAAGTCTGATGGGACAGTGCAAGTCCGCACTGAGAACTTTATACATAGGCTTTAGAAAAGCTAAGCTAAAGAAAATCTAGAAAGAACATGGGACAGTGCAAGTCTGAGCATTGAGACTAAGAAAGCTAAAGAGAGAACATGGGACAGTGCAAGTCTGAAGGCAAAGGCTTTAAGAGAGATTATGCTGAAGAAAAGCTAAGAGAAAACATGGGACAGAGCAAGTCTAAGGAAAGAGACTTTAAAGAATAGTAAAGAAGACTTTTAGAAGCAAGGTTTTAATGACTTGTAAAGGAGTAAGGCCTTAAAGAAAAGATAGAGAAAAGAAGCAGAGTAAAGAGAAGAGAAGTAAAAAGCAATGAGGGTTGTGCGTCTCCACCCAAGCATCCAACACACCTGGCCCCAACTTTCTGCATGTCTGTCTGTTTATCCTGTGTCCTTTCTGCATCTTCCGTCACCCTTGGTTAGCCCCAGTTAGGTTCAGTAATAACCAGGAGTGAGAAGAAGCTCGCTTCACAGGCCTGCTCACTTATCAGAGCCTCCGAGTTGGGAGGGAGACTGATTCCCACTCCCCAAAGAGCTGCTTATGGGCAAGTTAATAAACTAGAAGAACAGACAAGAGAACAAGGTGGACTTCCTTAAAATGGCAATTATGAAGCAGGTGACAGTGGCTCATGCCTATTAGCTTAGCTACTTGGGAGGAGCATGGCTCAAAGCCAACCCTAGCAAACAGTTCATGAGACCCCCATATCAACCACTTGCTGGGCATGGTGATGCCTGCTATGTAGGAGTCTGAGATAAAGAAGATTGAGGTTCCAGGCCACCAGGGGAAAGGAAGAAGTTCACAAGACCCTATCTCAAAGGAAAAAAGGTGGGTGTGATGGCATGTGCCTGCCATTCCAACAATGGTAGGAAGTGTGAAACACTTCCTGTCCAGAAAGTGACCCCTGTCTCCAAAATAACCAGAGCAAAAAGGACCAGTGGTGTGGCTGATGCTATAAAGTGCTTACCTAATGAGCGTGAAACCCTGAGTTCAAACCCTAATACTGCTAAAAACAAACAAACAAAAAAAAGTAATTATGCTCTTTTTAAAAAGGGAGTCCTCAAACTTTTATGGTAGAGAAATAAAGGAAAATATTGATCTGAGACCTGGTAATGTGACTTAAGTGGTACAGCACCTGCTAACAAGTGCAAGGCCCTGAATTCAAACCGCAGTACTACCAAAGCAATTTTTAAGAGAAACAAGAAAATATCAATTTGATCGAATTCTGAAATGGATTAAAAATCTTCTTGTGTCTCCCTGCATAGAAAATAGTCAGCGTTTAAGTCATCTTTCCTGCCGTGGTGTGTTGTTTATACCGTGCTGCTAAAAAGTGGTCCAAGGAGGTTAACTGAGTCTTACTAAGAAAACCAGGGCAGAGAGAGATGCACCCTGTGAGGCACAGGTGTGAGTCTGGGGAGAATGAATCTCCTTGAACTTGAATGTGCTCTCAGTTCGTGCTTACTTAGGCTTCGGTCCTTAAAAATATGTCACATATACACATAGAATATCCAGGGGCTACGGCAATCCTTATCCCCTTGCTTTTAAGGTAACATGAAATGTGACCTTGAACATGGCTGCTTGCGGCTCTCCGAGTTCATAAAACGGTGGTTTTCCTGTGGCCATTTCGATGATCGTGCACCCCAAAGACCAAATGTCAGCTGCCTTCCCATAACCTCGTGGTCCTTTATCAATTATTTCTGGTGCCATATACTGGAGCGTACCTGGAAAGAATTCAAACACATCTCCACTTGAAAAGGGGAAACAGATGCGTTTCTATTGACAATTTCAACTTGTCTACATGAATAAGATGACTTTAAAAACATGATTCGGGTACTAACACATCATCTTCTTTGAGGTCCAGTTTTCTCTATTGGGAATAAAAGTGAAAATGGCAGTTTTTACAATGGGTTTTTAACCACTGACACAAATGTCACCAATTTCATCTAGTTATGAAGATGTATGTCCTCACTCCCTAAACAGTGGGTCACTCCCCTAGGGTCCCTAAATAGTGGGACACTCCCCAAGGGACTCTAAGGGATTTCTTACCATTGAGTTTTTAACAACAACAGAGAATACCTCGGCACATTATTTTCTGCATTCAGTTCTTCAAATGTATGAAGACTGCTATTCTGTGTACTTCTAACCTTCTTCAGGACAAGTCTAGTTCACTCATTTCCTGAGATTCACACTCCTCAATTCCCGAACTGAGTGCTTAGCTCCTCTGTTCTCGTTCTGGAGGACGTTGTGGTAAAAGTGAAATAATCCAGACACAAAGACAAGTCTTGCATGGTGTCATGGATACGTGGCATCTAAAAAGGCGGATCTCATAAACATTGAGAACAGCATAGTGGTGACCCGAAGCTGGGGCGGTGGGAGGGGGAGGCTGGTCAGTGGCTACTAAGTTAGAGCTTAATAGGAGAAACAAATTCTGGTGTTCCACTCTACAGCAAGGTGACAACTCCCAATGCTAATGTGCTGTATGTTTCAAAAACACTAGAAGAGGTGATTTTGAATAATGTCACCACAGAGAAGTGACAAATGTTTGAGGAGATAGATATGCTTACCCTGATTTGAACTTTATACAATGTATACATGCACTGAAACATCATATGATACCCCATTAATTGTTCGTTTTTGTGTCAATTTTTTTAAAAAAAGAGAAATCAGTTTTTTTTCTGGTACTGGAGATTGAACTCAGGATCTCAAGTTTGCGTCCTACTGTTCGAGCTGTGCCCCTAGTCCTTTTGCTTTTAGTTTGTTTTTCAGATAGGGTCTTGTGCTAACTTTGCCTTGACCAGCCTCAAACTATGATCCTCCTACCTCTATCTCCTAAGTACCTGGGATTACAGGTGTGCACCACCACACCTGGCTTCTTATTTCTTAAGTATGACAGCATGATGATTCTAAAAGCTGTGGTAAAAAATAATGTAAATAACATCTAGTGTACTCTGTTCTGTAAATCAACCTGTACTACTACTGCTGTGTGTCTGAGGTACACAGAACAAGAGATTTAACAGATCAAAGACAGGTCATGAGCTATTAACAGAGATTTGTCAGACAAGAGTGAATAAGAATAAAAGGAAAGAATCTGGGCACCAGTGGCTCACACCTGCAATCCTAGCTACTCAGTAGGCAGAGATCAGGAGGATTGTAGTTGGAGACCAGCCTGGACAAATAGTTCATGAGACCCTATCTCAAAAATACTCAACACAAAAAAAGAACTGGTGGAGTAACTTGAGTGGTATGGTGCCTGGTTAGCCAGTGTGAAGTGCTGAGTTCAAAACCCCAGTACTACCAAAAGTAAATAAATACATAAATGAAAGAGAGGAGACTTAAAAGGCTGCATGAAACCAGAGTTGAAGGGTGTGGCATGATGGGGAGAGCATTAATTGAGGGCCCATGAGCCTTGGTTCTGGTTCTGGCCTGCTACAACAACTCGTGGCAACGACCTCATTGGTCAGCTCAAATAACTGGCTGCCTTTGAACTCTTCATACCCTGCACGGGGGTTTCCCAAAGTCTAGGATACGTCAGAAGCACGACTAAGCTAAATGTTACTACCACATTCCCTGCTTCTGACATACAAATAATATAATCAAACAGGAACCCATCCAACATTCCATGTTGAATTACTTCTAGTTCTGAGGTGTCTGCCAAAAGAGCTACTTCAGTATCTTCTGACTCATAACCAAAGCGACATTCTGATATATATAGATGACACCTTTTATGAGCCTCTCATATGATTTATAGGTGAAAACTGCAATATAAAATTCCTCCAAACAGTTCCTATGAAACCCACCATCATAGGTCAGAAAGTATGTTATTTTTTCAATTGTCATCTCATGAGGTTGAGCCTCCGGACTTTGTCATCACATGGGAGTAGCTCATGTTCGTGATCACATACAGATTCAGGTGACTGCTTTCAGCTTAAAGTGGCAAAAATACTGCAGGAAAGCCTTTCCCAACAAGGACAAGGAAACCACGCCCCTTAAAGACTCAACCACAATCAGAGCAAATTTGTCATCTCTTCCTGTTCATAGCTTTCCCTCAGGTGATAACTTTTCATGATTTAAATAAAATCAAGCTTTTAGAAAATATTTGTTAAAGCCCACCACTCCCTTTTGTTCTCTCTGGGTCTAGAGCAGAATTACGGAGAAAATTTAAGTTGCACTCTGTGTTCAAACTCCAGTATCACCCCCCCAAAAAAAGTTGCACTAATATCTAAGTAGGAATTACAATTTATCAAAAATAAGGTGAATTTTAAAAACTGATTAATTCAAGTAATTTCAACAATAAATCATGCAATATTTTATTTATCAGATAGTATTTCAAAGTGCTTTATCTGCCAACTGTATGCTGGTTGATCTCCCACTTAGCATGTGCCAGAAAAGCAGGGTTAGTCACATGGTCATATCTGTTCCTCTCTTTCCTCCACAAACAACACATTTCATTTGTTTATTTGTTTTTGCGGTGCTGGGGATTGAACCCAGGGCCTCATGCAAACTAGACAAGTGCACTACTACTGAGCTATACTCCTAGCCCTCATATTTTAAAGAGATTTGTAGAAGTGGAAAATGTAGATGCAAGCCAATCTGAACATGAGCTTAAGGAAAACGAGTGAGAACAAGATCTCTAATACCTGTTCCTCACATACCTGCATTCTGAATTTATATTTAAATAACTGTCAAATAAGCAGGGCATGATGGTAATCCCAGTGCTTGGGAGGCTGAGATAGAGTTCCAGGCCAACCTGGACTACATGTCAAGACCCTGACTCAAAAAAAAAAAACAACAAACCCTGCTAAATAAAGGTTTTAGAATTTCTTTGCCGCTGAAACTACTTAGGGTAGTGATACAGCTTAGTATCTTTTACTCATTAATTTATTCATTAGAGCTATACTGAGTACTCTTCTAGAATCTATCAGTGAAGTAATAGAAATCCAGAGCTATGTTGTTTATAGTTTTGCAGTGGAAGATAGATAATCAACTATTGTTATAATAAATAAATTATACAATATGGTAGAAAGTGACATGCTATTACAAAAAAAAATAGAAGGCAAGTGATAGAGCACCTGTCTAGCAAGTACAGGACCAAGTTCAACTCCCAGTGCCTCCAAAAACAAAAACAAAACAAAACAAAAGAAAGAATGGCAAAGGGGATCAGGAGCTCACAGAAGGTCTTATTGAGGAGGTGACGCCATGCTGGTAGCTGTGAGAAGAATGTTACTGGCAGACACAGAGCCTGTAGAGCATGTGCAAAGGCCTTGCAGCGAAGCACTGCCATCAGAAGATGCAGGAAGGTCCATGCTTCTGGTATAAAGTGAGCAAAAGGGAAGAGTAGGAAGGGAGGTCTGAAAGGTAATGGGCTCTGAGTCAGGTCAGAGCCTTGTCCACCATCACTGGACACCTCAGCATTTGTTTACTCTGAAAGAAATAGAAAGCCACTGAGGGCTGAGTGCCAGGGCTTGACTGATGTTTTTAAAGCCTCACTTGGCTGCTGTGTTGAGATCCAACAGTAGAGGGCAGAAGTGGAAGGAGGAGAACAGGCAGGAGGCAGAAGCACCACAGGTGAGAGGAGGGCAGCAACAGGAGTGGTGGAGAGAGCACTGGCCTGATTTTGAACCTGTTTTGAAGGAGGAGCCAGTAGGCTTCCTGATGATTGGGTTGGAGCGTGAGAAAGGATCCAGTGACAACTCTAAGTCTGGGGTGGCCCTCAAGTGAGACAGGGAGGAGTGTGGGTGGAACAGGTTTGGGGAGAAGGCCATTATTCTCTTTGGCATGTTAAGTCTAGTTTAAACCTCAGCTCTGTTACTAACTAGCTTTGTGACCTTGGGCAAATTATTTAAACTCTTTGAACTATAATTTTCTCACCATAAACTGAGATAATGAGACCTAATGTTAGGGTTGTTGTATGACTTTCACAGAGCCAGGTATACGGTAAGTACTCCATACGTGTACTGCTACCTTTTCCTCACCAAAATCACCAAGAAGTGAAAGACAGCAGGGTGTTTCAACTAAGTTCACTAAAGGTGCAGAAGCACCTTGACTCCCTGGGCACGAGACAGCGCTGAGAGGTCTAGGGTGTAGAGGAGATCTGGGTGCACACACGATGGCCCTCAGAAATGTGGCCGGCAGAGATCTTAGCACCCTTGTTACACACGTCATCCTCACATGTGACCTGTGGGAGAGGCAGAAGCACAGGACCCTGTGAAGACTGCTTTCCTACAACTCCTTCAGGGGTTAAAAAAAAGTTTTCAAGTTTAGCAAAACATATGAAATTAACATCCTGCCTCCCCAAAAAGCATGTGAAAGCAGGGTTTTTCTTCTCAGAAGTTACTAATTTTTGACATCATTTAGATGTTACTTGCCAAGTTGAGAGAGTATGAGGGAAGAAATGCCGAGACACTGAACAACCAGCAGGCTGGAATTGATTTTACTATAAAAACACATTCTAAATATATGGAATTCTGTGCCTGAAATATCCATTGCTTTGAGGGTGGGACCTTGGCCAGAGATATTGTATTGCTAACTGAACATTCTGAGGTGAAAACAGACTCTCTCTTTCCTCCTTTCTGCTTCCCAGGCTACCAGGGCAATACTGGAGAGGAAGATAGACTGGAGCCCAGAGGAGGACACAAATACCAAAAGGTAAATTGAGAGCCTGAGCTCTATCATGTACCACCTGCTCTGACCTTTGGGCTGATGTCCATCTCTCTCAATTTCCTCATGTGCAAAAAGGAGGCACTTCCACCTACTGCACAGGATTCAAAAATGGGGACAGCTGGCCATTTAGCAGTCCATTAAATCAAAGATTAGTCACTGACTTTTGTTGTTGTTGTTGCTAAATTTCTCTAATAACAGTAACAATAATGATAATAAGAACTACTTGGTACCTCATGAGATCAGCACAGTGAAATGGTTTGAGCTGAGAGCAGTTTAGCAGCCAAGATGCCCTCCCCTCCCCCCTCCTACCCACACTGTTGAACAGTCTGCCATTCCTCCCTTGAACTCAGTTTCCTCTTGGCTACCTTCACTTTTTTGGGAATTGCTTTCTCTCCACCCTCCCAGGACTTTGGACCAGAGGCAGCTCAGTCACTGTATTGCCTAATTTCTCAGGAAAGCTCTCTCTCCACCCCTCCTCTGAGTAGATGAGTCACTTCCTCTTCTGAATTAAGATCCTACAGTTATTTATATTACCAAGTAGGGGAATCGATTCCAGGGAGAAAACAGTAGGAAAGAGGGAATTCAGAGCCCAGATGGGAAGTGATTTGGGTATGAGTAAGAATCAGAGAGGTTGGGCCAGGGTAAGGTTTTTAAAAAGTAATCTTGCCAGTGTTACAGTGGCTGTAGCCTAACCAGGAGAGATGAAGGGACAGGAAATGAAAAACAAATAACAAATTGAGAATTAAAAATAACCTTCACTGACTGGCCTTAAGCAGGAGATGAGCAAATAAAATAAACAGAAGACAAGAGAGGCAGATTGAATTATATATAACAAGTCTCAGGGAGCATCAAATGCACCAACATTTAATGTGTGTGAGAACATGGACTCAGTCTATCTCTCACCTATGCTCAAACTCAGCAATTATGTCTCTAATATACAAGCTCTATATCGTTATTACAAAACATACCAGTAAAAGTTTCAGTACATGGATTTATGCCAGCAAGTCTCTTTGATGTCCCAAAGTCAGAGATCTTGAGAACGCCACTGTATGTATTAATCAGTACATTGTCACCCTAGGGAAAAAGGACTTCAATCAAATATGTTATCTTTCTGCACACACTGTTTGTTGTTGACTGGTTAAGTCTAACTAAAAAAGGAGCCCCAAGAACAAATAAGAATACTTACTCTGTGCTCTTTATTAATAATTTATCTCAATACAGACTTCTTCATACCACTTTTGGTTTATATAGTATCAGGTGTTCACAATCTGCTACTCAAATTGCAAGAATAAACATGGCCACAGGCAAGTTCACTGAAGTTTACATGTAGCACAGGCTAGCTGTGTATGCTACACACACACACACGTAAATTATATATATAAATTACATTATATTATATATATAAATATGTATTATGACTTGTATAACTTCCCCGTCACTTTACTTTCTTTTTATGTTGTTTTCTTTCTTCCCTTGGAATTTTTAGCCTCATCCTGGATAAATAGCAGTTGAGCTGATTTCAGGGTAGTACTGTTAGCTGTTATGCAATGAAGGTACCTTTAGGGATAAACTCCTACAATTACAGAGGAGAAAGCTGCTGTCACTTTAAAAGACTATTACCCATCTTCAAATTTGTTCTTTCTTTTTGTTTCAGTTAAAACTCTTTGAAGAAACTTGTGAGGAACCAGCCAATGTCACCCAGCAACTCTGACTCACTCTTTTATGTCACCCATAGTAAACTTTTCTCAGGATAACACTAAGTTCCCTGTCCAGCAGTGTTCCTATCTATCTAGCCTCTTTTCTTTTTGAATGTGTAATCTATGACCTTGAACTGAGCATGCTCAGAAATGCACACCTTAAATGGAGCATGTTGGGGAATGTGCCTGCCCCTCGCCGACAAGTACTCTTCAGTAGGAATGTGTATGGGCTCCCAATACAATCCTTTGTTCAGGGACCGTACTCCTTTGTAAATAATCCCAGTGCTCTCCTTACATGGTGCCAGTGATAAAGTGTTCTCCATCTCTCACCTCCTGGCTGTGCTTTTTGGCTTTGTACTCACCAACATCGTGTTTGGTTACAAAATTAACATATCTTCCATAGTCTAGTCTTTGCCAAAACTTGGTTAGTTTTGAATTTTCTTTTAAAAGAGAATGTAATACTTATATTTTAGAGGAGCTACAAATGATAACCTTAGTTTATGCATAAGTGAATGATAGTTGTGAGAAAGGAGGGTTTTCTTTATTTTTTCTTCTAACCATTCATATTTATAAAGAGTGGTTATGGGCAAGGATACAGAGATTAGCCAGCTTGTCCTTGCTTGGGAACAGGGCACATGGCTTGCTGGACTTCACATGGCTGTTCACAAAGTATCCATGGCGGGAGCATATCTACCGGCCGAAGGTGGTGAGAGAGGGTATACCTTGCTTAGCAGAGATGAGACATGGACATAAATAGCTGGTTCAGAGTAGCATGACATATTTCTACTGTTTATTTATTCATCATTCTAAATTAGTAGTCAGAACACAAAGATATGACTTCTGCAAACAAAAAAAGTTACCCAGGAAGGAACTCATGAAGATGAATCATGGTGCATCCTACCTTTATATCCCGGTGAACTATTTGATTGTCATGGAGGTATTTTAATCCTTCCAGTATTTGCTTTGTATAAAAGCCAATTGTTTGCTCATTGTCTTTTAATGGGCCCCATTTGGACCGAAGGAGAGCAGAAAGACTTCCTGTAAGAGAAAGTGTAAATAAAATCTCATCAAAATGAGCTCTTTAAAGGATATTAAAAATGCGACAGTGATTTAAGCCAACATTCATTTGTTCTTCACAGTGGCTCAGGACCTATACTGGTTACTTGGGATCAAATATGCGTATGAAAACATCTCTACTCTAAAGATGGTCATTTTCAATATGTCTAGGGAAAAGGCTAATCAATTGCTAACCTTAATCCAAGTCATGATGATTGATACTAAAATGGTTCTGATATTTATTTATTATCTCCTAACAGACATCAAGGTAAGGTCCCAGGTTTAATTTTTCTTTCAAATGGACAAATTAAGACCCGTACTCTTGTAAGTCTCAATTTTATTTCTCCTTCTTGGCTTAGAAATTTATGCTCTTGAAAGAAAGAAAAGCAGCTCTTACCTCCTGGGACCTGCTCCATGAAGATTTTAATGAAGCCATTGTCACTTAGAGAGCCCAGATATTGGACAATGTTTTTGTGCTTGAGATGCTTATGCAAGGCTATCTCTTCATGCAGGGGCTGGGAGTATCTGAAAGACATGTGAATGTCAATACGCTAATCATGCAGCCAGACTTCAGTATATAAATTTAAGCAATCCAAATTGAGAATGTCAGCTAGACATGTGCCCATAAATAAAATCAAATGACCACCCAAGGCCTCTATTTCTCAAGAGGCACATTCTGTGAGGTTGCAGTTGGAGTAGGATAAGGGGAAAGATGCAGGCACTGTTCTAAGCTCCTTGTGCACGTTAACTTATTTCTTACAAGTAAGGAAGAAGGTACTATTAGGATGTCCATTTTATAGATGTGGAGATTAATTCACAGAGATGACTAACTTGCCCAAGGTAACAAAACTAGTGACAGTCTTAAAATGATTAGAAATCATCTCCACAGCTTCTGTCCATACTAAGATGGCATCCTGTTCCACTGGCCTCACAACATGACTTTTCTATCCCAGAAGCTTTTGTCCAGGAAAGCCCAGAAGTTCCCAATGACTTTAATGTTCATTCTAGAACTTTCTGAAAGGCCCATCCACTCCTCCATGAAAAACAAAGGCATTTACATTCCAAGTCTCTCTCAGTCCACTGATTCAAAATCTTCACCTTACTTTGTCCACCAAGTCTATTATCTCATGATTTTTACCTAATTCTATACAATTTCTGTATCAAAATCATGTGCTTGGTGTATTTGCTGTATCTGATTATAGAAGTATTTAAGCTTCTGAAACAAATAACACTTTAGTTGATAACAGGAAGTACTGTAAAGCTTACAGAATCTTAATAATCCCCAAATCATTGTAGCTCTTTTGTAATTATTGTATAGTTTGGCAAAGAACAAAACTTCAACAAATTGAGTTTTAAAGATTCAATTGGTGATTCCTGAATTAGGCAGCCTTGGGTCCAAATAGCCAGGAGCTTTGCTAGGCATGACAATAATAACCACTTATTGCAAGGGAGGCTGAGCAGGAGGAAGGAAACAGCATGGCGCAAAAGCAATTTGTGAGCATCAGGTTACTATCCTTGTGTGAGTGAAAGCAGAGGGGACTTCCTTATCATGCTGGCGCAGGTGACTGGGCTCCTTTTGATTGGTGGCTATACATCTGAAAATCTGGAAATTTGCCTAACATCTCTCTCTTGAATTGAGGGAAGTTTAAATCTTACAAATAAATAGCTTAGCTTTTGATTTGGTGACATGAAACTGAAGCATGAGTGACTACATTTTGAAATGACCCACTATGACCTAGTTCAGGAGCTTAGTCTAATCAATGGTAAGGTGACAGTGATAAACAGACTCAATGCTATTCCCTAATATGTGTGTGTGTTACAATGTTATATATGTGTGTACATATATACTGATGTACTCATATACCATATGTACACATATGAGTACATGTATATACATACACACTTGCATACCAGGGGATGCAGAGAGAAAGGCACTAAGTACTAAGACATATTAAGTGCAAGCCTGCTGCCTCATATTGGCTTCAGTCATACCTGTAGGGAATGTTCAGATCTTTCAATGACAAGTCCAAATAAGAACAGTGGATCTTTTTTGGGTACTGATAACTAACACTGGAATTGGTTAGTAATAAAACCATTTTCATAAAGCTTTGCAGAGTAAGTGCTAAAGCCAAAGCAACTAACAATTTACTAAAATCTGAATTCATTTAATTCAAGTACACTTTATAATCCGTATATGATTACTGAGAAAGAACGCAACATAATGACAACAAAATCTTGTGTATCAATATATTACTCATTTTTTTTTTAGTTTACAATTGCTCTAGGACCTGAAAAGGGCAGATATTAAAGTTATCACTTTAGCAGTGTATCAGTTAAAGACAGAAACAACATTTAGATAATTGTTCGAGCGAGGGAACACAAGAAGTACCCATATACAGTGTCACCAATACGATGCTTAGGTAATAACTCTTTGCTCTGAAGCCATTTACCAGTTACTTCTTTCATGAGGTGAAAACCACTTGGATACTGGTTCATGATTACTCTTATATGAGTTAGTGGCAAAAACTGGGCCTGTTCTACAGATTGAGGAGATTAAGATCATCTGAAAGAAGACACCAGCTCAGTTTATTATGAATCAAAGGGTGCCTACCTTCTGATTCTCTACGGAAAATCAAACCTTCAATGCTTACAGTTAAGATCCTACAGAAGCAAATGTCCCCATGCTTTTATTTAAACCAAGAACAGATAAAAAGTTACAATACTAGTCAGAGTCCAATGAGCTAAGGATTCATACTGTTTTCACGTTGAAAAATATTACAAACACCAGCAAATTTCCCAAGGTATAAGTGCCAAGCACTATATAATGATGAAGTGCTAATTTGTTCAGGTGAATAAACTATGATTGTCTATGGGAATTACAAGAAAACTATATTTTTTCTCCATCAGTTATAACAATGGAAGGAAGAAATGGTATAGACAATCAGATCCATCCATCCATCCATCCATCCATCTCTCTAGCTTTGTTAAAAAACTATTGATCCATAAATCTCTAGACTTCCCCCTCTGAATCAAACCTCCACTGATAACCACCTAGATGAATGATTTCCAACCTTCCTTTTTTTTTTTTAAGTTTAAGACGGGGACTCGCTATATAGCCCAGGCTGGCCTCAAACTGGAAATCCTCCTGCTTCTGCCTCCCAAGTGCTGGAATTACAGGTGTGCACCACCATACCTGGGTGGCTTTCAACCTCTCCTGTATGGCTTCTGAAGAATGCCAACCTGAGAGTGACACCTATCTAGGGGCAGATTATGGGAGCATACTTAAATCCAGCATAACTTTCTTACAAACACTCTGACTCACTAGCAAAGTCTTTTTAGAATGTGAAGGAAATGCAGAAGGAATCTGGTATCTTTGTCAGGTGTTCACAATCAAACTCAGAGCCTTGTGCAGGATAAGTACATGCTTACCACTGAGCTGCACCCCAAGTCAGCAAAATAAACTGCTGCTGCTGCTATGACCCTTCTTTGCATATGGCATTCAGTATCCCACAGCATACATTTTTCACATCCATCATACCATTTAGCAATTATGCTCTGTAGCTCCTATCTTTCCAAATGGAACATCCAGATGTCTCCAGGGCACATAGATAGAAATACCTGTTTATTTCATCTTCACAATAACAATGCTATGAAATTGATGTAATCCCTTTACATAGTTAACAAAAAGATACCCTGAACCATCTGTTCCAGGTAAGCACTTGTCATGCAGGTGACAAGCACATACAACCCACATATATCGACTACACCATTACAGAACAGGAGCCAAGGGCATTTTGTTGGTCCTGATGTGCTTTGTGTGTACGCTGGCATTTGAATAACCTTAATCTACATGGGGATTTAAAAACTGCATCTTAAAATCCATCCAGAGATGAAGAGGAGGGATGTGACTAAAGAGTAATTCAGCAATCTAATAGTGATGATCCATTAAAATTTCATATCATTTCAGAGTCTATGAGTCTATAGACTCTGAACATGTAGTATATTTAACAAAAGTTTTAATTGACAACTTTATACATATCACTCCAAGTATTCAATGAATAATTTCTACCATTTTTAAGAATTCATAAGCAAGTCAAATGGGTTAACACAGAAGAAAATGTGGAATAATACCATAAAAATATAAAATTGAAACTACATGTGGCAGATAGCAACAGCTTCTTGCCAAACTCATATCTATTCTTTCCTCTTCCTACGATTTTGTATGGAGAAACAGATGGCCAACTAAAAAGCTATAGAGTCATAACCTCCTTGGTAGGGATAGGTGGTCACCCAACCCGGTGACCAAGTTGTAGAAGTATGCTGGGCATTTCCAGGAAACTTCGTTTTCCTGTTTTTTTCTAGAATGAAGATATGGAGGCTGGAGGCAAAGTGACAGTCTATGGAAGTCATGCATTAAGGATGGATAGGTGGGACCTGGGACAGTGGTGTATGGGAGGGAATATCTTTTTCAGCCTGAGACAGTAAGAGAAGGCCTCTATGGTATCTTGACATTTGAATAGAGCCTCCATTCAAATGATACGGAAGGATGGATAGAAACAGTGGTAGAAATTATTCATTAAATACCTGAGTGATGTGTATAAAGTTGTCAATTAAAACTTTTATTAATGATGAAAATGAGGCAATGCTGCCAAGATCTGGTTGACACTGGTTTGACTCCTGGACAGAGAGACAGCAGTGTGGCTGCCATGGTGGTAAGGCCCCAAGTAGGCAGGCTGCCTAGAATCCTTATATAAGAGAGTCTGGGTTTTAGATTGGTTGCAGTCAGGATCCACGGAAGAGTTTTAGGCAATGGTAATATGATGTGATTTTTTAAAAAGGAATTTTATTTTTTTTAGAACAATTTTAGGTTCTCAGCAAATTGGTCAGAAGTTCAGAGATTTCCCATATCCCCTTCCCCCACCACGCACAGCCTCTGCCATTATCAGCTCCACCCCGCCATGGTACATTTGTTACAACCATGACCCTATACTAATACATCATTATCTCCACATTATGTGATTTTACCTTCAGAAAGGTCTCTGAAAGATTCAGATCTCTGAAAGATTCAGATCTCTGAAAGATCTCAGAAAGATTCAGAAAGAATGGGCTAAAGGCAAAGGAAGGAGTGAAAGCAGACAAGAGGTGGCTGCAGACACAAACAAGGAGTTTAGACAGGTTTTCTACCCCAGCAGTGGTTCCCACGGAGGCTTCTGTTCAGGGATTTCTGCTCTGTTCAGTTGTTCTGAACAGAGAACAACTATGTGATCTATGGCTGTCCTCCACCCATAGATCTTACAAGAGCTGCTGATTTTTCTGTGTGTTCAGCTTTTATTTGTTAGAATGGAATGGCAGCTTCCAAGCTCCTTATGTGCTGGACTGGAAACTTACCTGTCATTGCACTTGTTTTCCATCTAGCCATATAATAAATCACCTTTATCTGATGTGACACACAAGGCCAGTCTCTTTTCTAGTCTTTGAAAGTCCTGTCCTTCCCTACCTGAATCTTTTGTTTTTCCCCAGCAGATTTTCTATTTAAGTTACTGAAAAATGTAGTGGATAAACTTGAGATAGGTTAGTTAACACAATGGAGTTTTCAGACAGTTCCATTGGTTAGACTATCACTCAAGTATTTTTTAAAATACTGTTTACAACCCAAAGTACTTTCACAAACAGATTTTGGTAGCCACAATTACAATACCTGCTGTCTCTCTCTGGGATTTCTTTAATAGCAATTCGGACCTGGTTGCTCAAGTCTCGACCTGCATAGACTATCCCGTAAGTGCCTTTTCCCAACACAACTCGGTCACCATTTTCATCATATTCGTAGTCATACTGCAGAAGGAAAATGGGGGACAGGAGGTTGAAACATTAGTTGCATGTGACATTTCAAACACCAGCTTTTCTCTAGAGCAGTTTTTCGTATTTCACCAAATGACTGTAACAAGTAAAATAATAAGATGAAGTTTTACATGGCAGCTTCAAGAACCAAAAAGCAGACATTGTCAACGTAAAGCAGGTAGTACGTTCATGTTTATGATCGTGTGTGTTATGAGTAAGTGGGCACTACACAGGTAAATCCACAGACACGCTTCTGCAAAAACCCACTGGGCTTCCTTCACCCACTCAGCCCTCCTTTCATTGATTCTGGAGATGTCAACAGCTGGCATCAGCCTATCACCAGTGAGCACATAGCTTTCCTCCTGTTATTCAGCTTTGGTGCTGCTACAGCAGTTTTTATTCTTCCAGGAGAACAAAACCACCAAAAGGATAGGGTAAGGAGACAATGAATAACAGGAGGAACACTAACTACGCATAGGTTCTGGGATTTCCCTCTACGGTACCCTTTCCTCTTCACGGCTGGTTCCTGGCAATGACTTTTACTTCTGTAAGCCTATCAAGGCACTTAAAATCTATTTTATTTTATCTAGATGTTGTTAACAGGATGGTTTCCTATGCATGGGGTGCGCCTGCAGTCCGAGATGGGCAGGAGTGGATGAAGGCAGGGTTTTCAGTTTCACTGAGCTAGGGCAGGAGTTTGCAAACACTTCCTATAATGTCCCTGATAGTGAATATTTTTAGCTTTGTGGGCCATGTAGTCTTTGTAGCAACTATGCAATCCTGCCATTACAGGGCAAAAACAGACCAGTAGATATATAAATAAATGGGCAGGTTGTGTTCAAATAAAACTTTATTTAGCAAAATAAGTGGTGGGCTGGATTTGACCACTGGGCCAGAGTTTGCTAACCTCTTATCTGGGGCTTGGGTCTTCATGCCCATGAGGGGAGAGGAAAAACAGCCTAATGCTGACAGCAGACAAAGAGCTGGAAGAACCTTGAAGGACCACAAAGCAGTGAGAGGACAGGTTAAAAGAGGGACCCACTGCACTGGGAGATGTACAGAAGGCAGGTCTCTTCTGTACTCTGGATGGGTAAAACCAAGTTTTGTCTGAATGCTTTCAACCATAGCTGATCCTCATGCTATTTGGAGTTCAAACTGACACTTCCTATAAGTATCATAATTTATCTTCAGCCCACGTTGCCCCAAGAGTGGCTGGAAAAGGTGTTTTAAAGGAAGACTTCCCTCAAACAAGCTTCTCAGGGTTCTCATTGAAAGTGCACCATTCAAACTGAGCTCAGAATCCAAAATCATCAATATATAAAGAAATAATTCACCGTCAGTGACAAATACAATCCTCAAAAACCCATAAATCAGAGACTTTAAAATATAAACATAAAGGTATGAAATAAATTAAAAAATGAGAAAGGATTAGGTATTCTGAAAAAGACCAAAGATTTGAAACATAATCAATTTAAACGTTCAGCAATTGAACCCTAAATAGGAAAGATAAAAATGAATTCACACTCAGATATGCTCTCAGGAAACTATAAAATACTAAAGACAAAGATTGGACTATAAAAGAAAGCAGAGATTAAAAGGATAAGTTACCTACACCAGGAGCTAAGCAAACTGTCTTGACGACACAGGGGCTATGTTAGCACATGCTCCAGGTTATTTATCTCTAACTGGTCTCTAAACCTTAGTGGAAGGCAGTCAGGTGGTGTTTCTTGGAGAGAATACTATGCCAGGCTGGTGTGGATGCCAGCCTCCTTCTCATGGACCCTGCTCTGTCTTTCCAAGCTCTGGAAAATTGACACCTGCTTTCAGGTGTCAATTCTCAGTATCCACCACAAGATACCCAGGGTACATTAGTGAACACGCCTGCGCTCAGTGCTTGACGCAAGGCTGAAGACTACCCTGCCTAGGGAAGATGCCCGGGAGGTCTGATGGGGAAGGGAACTCACAACAGGGATCATCCAGCCATTTGCCAGACTTGGGACATAGAACTGAGTCCCTGAAAAGGAGCAGTGAGAATAGTTCAAACAATGCTGCCAAAGGAGACCAAATCACACACCTAATTCCTGTGGTCCAGACTTCTGCAATGCTGTGCTGTACCTGTGGAGTCCCACCTTAGGGCATCAACAAAATAGATCAAATTTGCCAGTGTGCCTGCTCAAAGGGACAGAAACCTATACACTGGACCACCTTATGCTATAATACCTTATAACTGAAAAGAAAAAGTCTCCAACTTGCAATGATCTGTCTCATTCAACTTTCATAATAAGCCTGTATCATAGTAAGAAGGGTCTCTGATTACCTTCAATTTACAAATGATCAGAAATACTGTTTCCAATTAAAATGTCCGACTTGTTGTTTAAAGTCAGATCTTGTGTTCTTTCTATAACTAATGCTGCAAGGAAACTCCATTACTTAAGAGCTTATGACCTTAATATTAATTCTGTTTTCAAACACCAGTATTATCAAGATATTCAATGTATTGTCAATGTCCACTGAGATCCGCTTGCTTTTCAAGCAGACACCTGGTGGCCATTGCCGCCTTAGGCTCCATCCTTTATTCTCCCTCACTCCTATCTCAAAGGGACTGAACACACTATCAGGTTTCCTTCTTAAGATCTTACAAACCCATGGCATATCCATCTCTATTTTCAGTGCTATTACCTCAGGTCAGGCTTATCTTCTGTCTATGTCTATGTCTATGTATTGATCCCTGGGCCTTGTGCAAGCTAGTGCTCTACCAAGGAGCTTCACCCATAGCCCTTCTACTCATCTTTGTTGTCATGTGTTTCTCACTCTGCCTGCCTGTCTTGCCTACTTGTCTGCTCTATCAGTCATTTTTAGAGTTATTTGGCTTGCAGTAGATGCTTAGTAATTATTTGCTCGATTAGTGAATTAGATTATAGAAAAATGTGATAACTTTTTAAACCAGGTGCCAAAATGAAACATTCAGAGCCTGTATCTGTTCATTTTTGATTGAAGCAGTTTTGTCACAGGGATAGTGTTTTGTCACACAGCATACTGAGGAACACAGAGCTGAGAGGGGGCTGCACGAGCATCAGTTACCTCAGGAGCCTAAAGCATCCAAAGACTACTTTGAAAAACTATTTATTAGGTTAGAAATTGACTCTATACCTAATAAAGTTTAACAAAGTATTCATAAATGAAAAAACATCAAGAGAACTTTTAATAAAGCCATTGCTATTTAAGTAAGACCATTTTAAAGAGTAATTACTGCCTAGTTTCTTTTTTATTTTTCCTACTATTACAAGGTAAAAATATAAATTAAGAAGGCAGTTTTGAAGAAAAGTTAAAAAGGGACAGGAGGCTGGTCTGGCCTCTAAAGACAGTTATCTATGTGATAGCTAGAAAAACTAGAACAGAGCTGGGAAGGAGGGGCTGTTAACTGACAAATATGCCAAAAAACAGGGAGGAAAAAAAATTTTTTTTTCTTTTTAATAAAGAATGTAAATCCAGTGCTTATATATTTTGCATTCTATTTCTGTGGTAATAGGTTAGCAAATCAGGTTGTTGCTAAGGAGACAACAGTTGCATCTCAAATCAATGATGGGAACACTTCTAGAATCTTCCCTTTATTGCTGCCTGCCCAGAACAATGTTGGCAAGGAGAAAACTGGCAGCTGGCATGGGAAGACACTGTTAACAAGGCCATACAACAGAGCAGTGATTCACTCAGTCCTGGCCCAACCAAGGGACCTACAGAGACAGAACCACCTTACAAAAGTCCATGCACCTCCCAGGGGTCTTGAGTACATTCGTCAGTGGTTACCTCAAGGACCCCAATGGCTGGTTTGTTAATCCTCAGTCACATTGCTTCCTTAATATGCAAATGCCACAAATATGAACACACAGCAGGGTACAAATATCTAGTGCAACAGATAGAATCCCACTCTTCCCCCTTTTTTGAGGGGGGGCAGTGTTAGGAATCAAACCCAGGGCCTCATGCATGCCAGGCAACCACTCTACCAATGAACCGTATTTCCAGTCCAAAACATCACCTTCTTAAAGTGCCTTTCTGGCCTTCCTGTCTGAAACTGCACACCCTGCTACACTGTAATCCTTCTTTACTTATTTAATATCTTTTATTTATTATCCTTGCTTTATGTTTCTCCTTCACTCTAAGCACTAACATCCTATATATTTTACTTATTTACATTGTTTATTGTTTGTCTTTCATCAGAAGTATAAGTTCAGTGAGAACAGGATGTTTTTCCCCTTGTTTTGTTCTCTGCTAAATCCCCAGCACCCAGAATAATGCTTACCACCCAGTAAGTATCCAAAAAACAGTTTTTAAAAAAGTGAATGTACTTATTTTTTATTAGCATACATTAATAGTACAAGGGGGTTTCATTGTGATATTTCCATAGATGTGTATACCAAACTGTGAAAACCTTGAGATAAATGACAAAAACCAGTTTTTGAGTGGATTAATGGGGGTCTACTTGGACCACCAATGTGCATAAAGATCCACTTAGGCCTTGAAAACATCTAAACGAACAGCAGCCATAGGAAAAAAAACTGATGTAAACTGCTTTTGCTGGCTTAAGCAAAGCTTCCAGAAAATACAGCTGTCATAAATCCCCTCGGGAGTTTACAGCCAAGAGGGAGGTGGACCTGTTATATCCAGATGAGAAATTACCTAAACAAAGCCGACAAAATTTTCTGTACTCATTGCTGCTTCTCTTTGCTGTCCCATCCCCTAGCCCTCTTCTTACTCAAATGACACAAAAACACTTAACCCTACCTGTCTGGGAGTGGCTTCTTGGTGTGGCTTCTCAATGATTTCCATGGACTAAATGCATAAAGTTCGTCCCTTTGCTAACTTATCTGTGTCAGTTAATTCACAGGCTCCAACTACAGAACATAAGTTGGTAAAGGAAAAAAGGTTTTTTTTCCCCCTCTCAAAAGAATGAATAAATAGCAATTCGTATCTTCAATACTCTAAGTGATATACTTTCT